GGCGTGTGCAGAGCCACTGGACAAAAACATTCCCAGGGCAATAAAAATGACAACAGTTACAAAGTGGCAAAGGCCAACTCCGGCGCTGGCTCACACGCACACTGCGACGGGATTAAGCCAATTTAACAGATGCTTACAGTCAGAACACTCGTAATCACATATTGGATTACCGCTGCCTAGTGTGAGCTCCAACTGCAGCTTTGGGTCGGAAATGTGGAATACCCTTCCTCGGGAAGTGAGCGTAGAAAAGAGACTTTAATTCCAGCAGCTTACCCAAAAATGGTCTTGAGGTCGACAACATGCTCACTCTCCTTTAAAATAAATAGATAGATACATAGATAGATAATAAAATAAATCAAGATAGAGTTGATTGGGCTTTCTACAGATAATGCCAGGTATTCAAAGCATGCATTTTTCACGTTTGTTCTGAAGAAATAATGTAACCGATTTCATGAATTTAACTTGGCGACTTTCAAGTAAGCCATTAAAACGATTTGGATCTGTGATTTCCGTTACAAGTGCCTCTCGTAATATCGCATTCCCAGTTTTTGTAGGGCAAGAAATTTTTAAATGATTTAGTGCTTAATTGCTCCTTATTATTCAGCTAGGGGAGAAATTTATTTTAAAAATATTTATAATAATTATAAAATGTATGTTTTAAGATACCCTAATCTAAGAAATAAATAAATACAATATAATTTAATAATGAGTATAGTTATAATCTCATCTGAATAAGAGCATACGTTTAAGACAAGCTTCGTGCAGAAGGACTTCACCACGCACAGGGTATCCCTAGTTCGCCAGGGCGTTACCCAAATGAGGTCCTCATATTTGTGTGGTTGACATTTGCGGGCTACCGAATTCGCGATCCTCCGCTGACTTCTGTCGCTGCAAATGCGATTCCTCCTTGGCTTTATTTCACTTTTATTTTTCGGGTTTTTTCCCGAACTTTTTTCATTTAAAAATCGAGGCATAAATTCCCGAATATACGAATATACGAATATCCACAGCGTGGCTTGGCTCAGCACATTTTTGGGTCTGGGTCTTTTCAGTTCTTTGGTTTTTCTGCCGGCTCCACAGCTACTTTGTCTTTGGCGTTGCCTGCCATGGGGCAAATCCCTTAGACGACGTTGCATGTTTGCCTTTTTTTGGTTTTTTTCTTTTTTTTGGCACTTTGTGCTCATATGATTTTATTTTTTCCTGCCCATTTGCGGCGTTTTGATATGTTACCCGGTAGCCGTGGAGCCCCGCTCGTTTTTTTCCAGCTTGGTGTTGGTTTGTTGCCTGCGGTTGTGGCTGCAAAGGACCCATGCCCATGCCCCTGCCCATAGGACTCTCCTGGCGGAATGAGCCACTTAAAGCGATGAGATTTTTGGCGTCTGACGGCGACGTCGGCGGCGTTTATCAAATAAATATCTTTGAAATATATAACAAATAATGAAATGCTGTCGCAGTCTGGATCAATGGGCCCGAATTGGTGTTATTAATTGCGGGCAATTGATTTGATTCAAATCCCATGCATCCTTAAAGATCATCTAATGTTATCGCCCCTGCAAGGACCACCCGCTCTCTAAGCATCATTAGCAAGGATGGACCAAGCATCTGAGCTCCGGGACCGAATTAATTGAAACATTACCTAAGCAAACGTTGCCCAAACGGTGAAACCAACCCGACGTTCTCAGGCTAATTGAATTTCCCCATGACCTTCCGCCCCCACAGGCTGCGTCCTTCTGTCTGTTTCAGTCCTAGAAAAATGAATGTCTCGCATTTTAAGTGCCGCTCGTAGTCGCTGCTTGCTGTTTTGTTTTATTTTTTATGGGCCTTTGTGGGCCTGTGTTTTCACGCATAAAAATTAAAGCCCCAATGCTTGGGATGGGCTTCCGTTTTCCGACATGTCCAGAACCCCCACTTCTTCCCAAGTTCCTGCCCCTCAACAATTGGCTTTTGTTGCGAATGTTGCTACCATTAGTCGGCCAGCTACTTAACACAACATTGATGTGGCTTAATTATGCCTACGATGATCTGCTGAGGCAGAGAAAGAGGGATTTTAGGGGGTGGAGATGTCAAAAAAGTTGTACGTTGCGAACATGAATCAAGAGCAATCCTTAAACTTTGTTTACTTTAATGCGACGAGGTGCTTAATTTGGTATTACCATGAGCATACAAAGCTTAGCCACAACTGATTTAGTTTTGAAAAATGTTATAAAGTACATAAACGCATTGTAGAATCTTTAGGCGGGCTTTAATACATCTACAGGTTTTATGATAATGATAAATTTATCCTCTCTTAAAAGTTTTTTGAGATACACCGACAACCAGAAAGCGCTTCTGCTTCCGCCCATCCAAACTATAAAGAAGCTTTAACTTTGGTTCATTGAAACTGAGTGGAAACTTTTAGCCTCACACGCTGTGGGAGCGTGGTAATTCATTAAAACCAAAGCTAGCAAGAGCAGCTCCATAAAAATGTTGGCCTGGCTGATGAGCCGCCCCAGAAAGCCGTTAATGATGTGCCCCACGGCAGGCGATTGCGATTGCTAATGTCCCTGAAATGGAGGGTTGGATGGGATGGATGGCATCCGCGGAAGAGAGCGCAGATGGACAGCTTGGAATGGCTTTGCCCGGTTGACACTCGCTAGCAGTTCAAGTGGCGCTGTGCATCTCAATCTCAATCTCGAGATTGACTAATGGAGGACGAGCAGGACGTGTTGATTGATTGTTTTTCCATGTAAATCGCAGGACGAATTAATCAATGCTAATGACACTTTCCCACTAGCTGCAACCATCCAGAAACTGCGTCAAACGGAAGTGTCTAGCCGAAAAAAGAAATAAAAAGGATGTCCGTGCTACAATTCTACAAATTGCATTTTAAGCGGATTCATGTCCGCACTGCAATTTTTTAGCAACGGATTTGGATTTGATCCAGAATCTGCACCCCGAGCGTAAGATAACCTTGATTTACGTTTGTCTTCTGTGCGTTAATTACCCATAAGATACTTATGCTCATTAAAGCATAGATACGGATACGCACTGCCAGGAGAAGTTTCGTATCTTAATCATGATTTTATGCTAATGTGTCGCAGCGTCTTGTAGCTGCCAGATTACAAGATACCGAGCTGCGACAACTCAACTCTTGCCAACTCGAACGGGTATCCCTTAGATACACTCGAGCAGGGCCACCATAATAGCTATTTTTAAGTCATTTGGAATAAGCATTACATAAAATGTTTTTCTTCTAGGGTCTCCACAAAGATGAAAGCGTACGTCAATATTAATAATTTTGCCTCTTATTAATACAAAAAAATATATGTTTTCTAAATATAATATTTATATTATAATAAAGTAATATGATACTTTATTAGTTACTTGCAACCAGCTAAAGATGTTTTATTTTTCACAATTATTAATGTGAAATGTGACATAGGCACACTTAGCACTTTAAATTTAAAAAATTACAATCCGATATCAATAAATTTGTAATTAATATATATTTTTGAAACCAATAGAAATGTTTTAATTTTAGTTTTAAACATGCCGTAATTATTTTCCAGCCATATGAGACTATCGTCTAAAGTTTTCAGCACTGCAGTTGACCCATACCATTATCAATTGCTGGAAAACCGCACGGCGCTGGTTTACGCCCACTTGGATGCCCGGTTTTTGGCCGTGTCAACCCTTTTGCGAGGCTCGTACCTTGACTTTGTTTTCCTTGCCTCTTGCCAGTTACCATTTTCCATTTAGCATTCAACATTCAACATTTCGCAGCTACACTGGCTCCCGTTGCGAATTTGTTTGTTGGCCGTCCGCTGCATGCAAGGGTGGCTTTGTCTGGCGTCCATTGCACTTTGGCTCGAAGGCTGGCGACTTACCAGTACATCTATAATTACGTCACCTTGGCGTGGCAGTCATGGGCCAAGAACTTGGGCGGTGCCCGACCTGCTCAAAACCTTTAAGGCCTCGCCTTTAAGACGTCTGCTGCTTAGGGCAAGTCCTGCTGTATTGACCACAACTGAGGACGTTTAAGCCACCCACATGTCCTGGCTATAAGCTGATTTCTTACACAGGACGGAAAAGATCTAGATTCTCCTTAAGATACGGTCTTTAGGCATAAATAAGTTGAAATGTATTTGTTGTTTGTTTTTTCATTGAAACTAACCCCGATGTTCTTACCGGTTTTTAACTATTTTAATCATATATAAAACGAGCTAACTTAATATAGAAGATATTATGATATCTTAAAACATTTTTCGTGCACTGCAACATCTGATAGAAGATATTGTTCAACAATTCATAAGCGGCTTGCTGGCAGGAAAAGAAAGTTTGGAAGCTCACGTGTCTAGGGGGTTTTTCTTAGCATGATTTATATGTGAAATACTTTCGCCAGAAGATGGAACCGCAAGTTGACACGTCTTGTGGTCAGTTCAAAAGATAATAACGCAGCACATGTGAGCCAGTTGTCCTGCCAGGACTTTCCAGTCTTCGTTGGGGTGGGAGCCATATTTCCCGAGCCTTCGTTTTGCTGATTTTTCACACTTGTTTGGCCCTTCAACAGCAACAGCTGGCCCTCTTTTTTATTATTAACTTTTCCGCTCCGATTTTGGTCACGTTTGATAAGCTTGAACTAATAATTCATGAATGGACAGCTGTTGCTACCGCTCCTGCTGCTCTGCGATGATTTTTAAATATGATTTGAATGAGTTTATAAGTTTGTTTATTTATTTAATGTGGGAACCACATAAACGAGGGAGAGTTCTACCCTTAGGGTGGTTTCGCTTTAACTTCGGATTGATTGATGTCCTTTTGCAGACAATCATTAGCTGCGAGTTGTCGATTCTCCCTCCCCCTTGAAATCCCCAAACTGCCACGCCCCCTTCGACTGTGAGTGGCGTTGACAGCTTGCCAAATTGTCTGCTGAAAACTCGTCTTGAGCTGCAGACATCGTCCCATGACCATTATGCACCATTAGCATCCAAGTCTCCCAGATTCTTATCTATACTATAATGTATCTGACAAACATATTTTATTTGGGAGCTCTTCGAAATATCATAGATCTTTATATCGATTTATAAATTGGTACTTCCTAATATTTTTATTTATGACGTAGGCACTCCCTATAAGCTTAAACATCATTTCAGGTTAGTGCTTGAACTTTTAGTATCTTGTTCTACTTACATTCACAATCCGTGGCATTATAGCATTCTGCAATTTTAAAAATTATATTCGAGGCAACTATTTAACAAGAAATACCTACTCAAAGGTGCATCCACTACTAAAAGGTCACCTGCAATTTTTTGTATTTATTTGGTATCAATATAAATAAAGGGTAATAATCTCACAGAATGGAGGTATCAGAATAGGGCTTGTAGCACCAAATATTCCAAACATAATAAAAGTGCTGATATACATTTTATATGTACTCGATTTTCTGTATACCAAATATTTTGGTGAAATTACTATTTTAATATTTAGGATGCAAAACCGATGCTCTTACAAAACACTTAAGTGCATAGTTTAGTTTCCTAGGTACTTTATGATTTATTTTTTAACGCTTGCACAACAAATCAATTAGGCAGCATTATACTTAAAAAAATATCGTATCGAATTAGTTTTTCTCAATTTCACAGTTTACGTATACAAAAATAGAATTGTAAAATAACACTATTTACTCTTAAAACCAAGAATTACATTTAATCTAATCAAATCCTTAAGCAATGTAATTCAGTAGATCTGCCTACTAGTTTGATTAATTAATTTCCTTATATTTTTCATTTGTTACAGGAAATGGCATTAAAAAACGAATGCAAATTTTTAAAATATATTTAAAAGAGGTTTAAAAACTATGAATCTATGTGAATTTCCCATCACAGTACACAGACTGAAGGGATCCACAAATTAATATAATGCTGAATCTTATTTTTACATAAGCGAAGGACAAAATCTATTGTATTAGATTCTTCTACTAGGTAGTAAGATAGTAAGAAGAATATACATATTCTTCCCACAAAATTGATATATAATTTTGCCTATTTTTATCGAAATGCCAACAACATTTTCATTTGCACACTCACGGCCACAGTTTTCCAAAATGTTTCGATTATTTTTATTATAATATTTTTTCCGCCGATTTCTATTTCCTGTGCACTTCTACTCGCTGAGAAAAAGGTATCTGATAGTCGAGGAACTCGTTTGTAGCGTTCTAGTGCTTTGGGTGTTTGGGTGCGAAAATCTGATTTGTATGCATATTACTTAAGAGCTTTGCGTGTCGAAATCAGGCGTTTTCAAAAAAGTTCACCAATGTCGTAAGTACTGTGAAGATGAAGGTGGTCGGCAGCTTGGATATCCTCTATTTGCTGGCGATCCTGGTAGCCCAACTTTCTCTCGTCGCGGGAAACTCTTCGGTGGTGGATGTGACCCACGAAAACCTGCAACAAATAATCGATTCTAATGAGCTGGTTCTGCTCAGTTTTTACACGGATTGGTGCCGTTTTAGCCAGATTTTGCAGCCCATTTTTGAGGAGGCGGCGGCGAAGGTTCTTCAGAAATTCCCTGAAAACGGCCGTGTGATTCTGGGAAGAGTAAACTGCGACACTGAAGATATATTGGCAGATCACTTTGAGATACTTAAGTACCCAACGCTAAAGATCATCAGAAATGGGTTGGTTGGCAAGCAGGAATACCGTGGCCAGAGATCTGTGGAGGCCTTCTTCCAGTTTGTGGAGAGGGAGCTATCAGATCCAATCAAAGAGTTCCACAGCATTGATGAACTCAAAAATGTGGAAGTTGGCTATGGTATAGTTATTGGTTATTTCATCTCCAAGGATCATGTTGAGTATGATAACTATCGCAGGGTAGCGAGCCTCATGCGCAACGATTGTAGGTGAGTTTATTATATCCACTGAACAACTCAAGCAAGCAGCTTCTGTTAATATGACAATTATATTAACATATTTTCAAATTAAATTATTTTAAAAATTAAAGGTTTCTTGTGGGCTTTGGGGACTTGACTAAGGCCCTCCGCCCGCCAGGAAAAAATGCGTTGATCTTCCGCGGCGATCCCTCGATTCCGAATCACAAGTACCAGTACAGTGAGTACTTGGGCAACATGACCAGCTTTAAGGAACTAACCTTTTGGATCGATAAGAGGTGTGTGCCTCTGGTGCGAGAGCTCACCTTCGATAATGCAGAAGAGCTATCCGAGGAAGGATTACCTTTTGTAATCCTGTTTTACAACAAAGACGATGTAAGTCCCGTTCAGGAATTTAAGAACGCAATTCAAAGCCAGCTGGAAAACGAGAAGAGGGTTAATTTCCTGACTGCAGAAGGAGAAATCTTTAAGCACCCACTATTCCATTTGGGCAAGTCCCTGAGTGACTTGCCAGTGATCGCAATCGATTCCTTCACGCACATGTACCTATTTCCACACTTCAAGGACATTGGCAAGCCAGGTGCCCTCAAAAAGTTCATTGATGACCTGTTCAACGGTACACTGCATATCAATTTCCACATGGCACTCGAGGCTAAGGAAAATTCGGAGTCCATAACCGATTTCGCTGAAGACCCGCCGATCGTCCACGAGTCAAAGTTTAAGGACCTCAAGCCATCCAAGCACCGTTACACTTTGGTCAACCGCACCAGAGACGAGTTATAATATTATCCCTATGTAGCTTAATCCTTAAACATGGTTAGATGTAATCACTTGATCACTCAGTTTCAGGCAGGTTTTTAAATGACAGACAAAGATAAAGATATGTTCGAGGCACAAATAGAACTGATTTGAGGAGTTTTTTTTAAGATACAATATTAGAAAAGTGTTAATCAGGCTCTGCATACATGTGCAATAAAAGTAATGCATTTATCTTGAAAAAACACAAAGCGACTCCCGACTATGACGTGAAATATTTTCACAAGCCCATTACCGACTAGGCCAGCATTGAATGCCCCATTTTGGTCGCTGTGACAAATCGAACACCCATCATATATGGGCACCTCATCAGATAGTCAGGAGATGACACGTGCCTCGATATCGATATTTCTAGGAAGACCGCAGCGATCCAGAACAGGAAAGTCGATTTCATTTGAATATGCCTTGCCGACTGCTCTGCATCAGACCATATAAACACTAATAAACTCATTAGTCAAGCATCTCACAAGCAAATATCACAGGTGCAAAATACCAATACAAGAACAGTACAGTGAAGTTAGTACAGTGAAGTGGAAACATCACAATTTTGTATATTTTTCAAACCTATAATATTAACGAAATGTATCATTACGATTCCGAGATAGGAAATCATATTGAAACGTAACAAATAAGCATAAATACTGGGCACACTTTTTTTGATCCGATTTCTCGTTTTATATCTTAAAACTTTAACAATGATTGAAACTTTACCAATTGATTTATTATTATATTATATTTACACAATTTGCATTTTCCCTGACTGCTTACCACGACATGTAGTTTGAGTTCGGTCGCGCCACAATGGGAAATCCTCGAGGGAGTGTCGCGGCTTCCTTTTCAGGACCGAGCTCGGAGCTTACACTTGTACTCCAATATTGTCATAATTAATAACATCTTTATGGCCATATGCCAGCGCAATCGAGCGTGACTCGAGATGAAGTATCTGGCACAGCGGCGAGTGCAGCTGCAGGTGCAACTGCCTCTAATCAGCGTCAGCAGCGCGTGCCACTCGCGTTGTCACCTGCACAATTATAGAATTTTCCATAGTCGGGCAGTGCTGGCCACCAAAATGGCCAGCTCCCAAAATGGTGTCCGCCAAGAGTCCGCGCGAAGTGTCCGCCATAAATAACTGCCAATAAATGTCAACGGTTTTGGCGCATTAACATAACAGCTACGTCGAATTCGTTGACAGGTGGGGCTTTTTCTTGGAGCACCAGACCTACCTGGCCAGCATCTTCCATCCATCCGTCTACTGGCATCATTATTTCTCGGGCTAAAACTGAAATAATCGCCTTTTAATCGCCTACGCCTCGACGGGCTGACTTGGCTCCAATTACCGCTGCAATCGTTAACTCTTCAGGCTGACAGCCCAGTTGGACAAGAGCCCCTTCAATTGCCACTGCGATCATCACCCCGATCGACAATAGTCGCGGAAGTCACGTGCGGAAGTTTTCAAACTTTCCCAGTTACAGTGTTGGCTGACAAGCATGCGAGTTCTGAATTAAAGCTGGAAAAACTTCCGTTTACAATTTACCTGGTGCCGTTTTTTGGAAATTAACCTAGTTTTTGGAAAGACCATTTTATTTAGCTCTTTTTACTGTTATTGAGATGAAGGAAGGAACTGGTACTTACCACTCATCTGTCTTTATGACTAAAAGAGTTGGGTCTTTTCCGACTTTTTACATATGTATATGCTTCACCAGGAGCACTAGCCAAGTCCTTCTCCGTATGATCGCCAAGGGTACTAAAGGATCAATGTAGTTATAATTCAACATACAGGTTGTGGCAATGCCTAGACAGCTTAAGTTTAGCTTAATTGTTGGTAAAACAAATGACAAACAAATTCGATTTTTTTAATTTGTATGGTAACTTATTTTGCATACAACAAAATATGTAAGTTTCGATACACAAAGACCTTTTCAAATCAGTTAATTATTTGTACACTTATCAGTATTGTTCCCTTTAAAATTCCGAGCGGTAACCGAGCAAGTACCAATATCCATCGTTCAGCTCTAAGTAAAAAATAATTTTTATCCACAGTTATATTTAAATTTCAGTACGTCTTGTGTTCGCAAACAAACGAGAATATTTAAATGAGGAATATATACTTAATATTGCTGAAGTCCCGCATGTTTTAGTCGAAAGCAAGATAAATTCCTAAAGCTCAGCGAAACCCATCCGACAATTACAATAGCAATTTCCAGTGGTCAAATGTGTGATATTTCAATTAAAACTTAACGGCGCAAGTCATTAAACGGCAGATACAACATGTACAGCAATCTGAGGGAAACAAGATGCCGCAAAAAGCGCAATTGTCGCAAAAGACGGCAAAAATCGACAGCAAAAGCAGGAATATCGGTGGCAACCGCCATTTGAGAGAGCTCAACATATTCAAAGTTGTGCACGAGCGCGATTCCAATTTCATTTTGAGCTCGGCGACAGCGCAAAAACCATTTGCGCAGCAACAAATGAAGAAAAAACACAAACAAAACGTTTTTGTTTAATTAAATTAACAAAATACGCGTCGGATGAGCGGCTAAAAAACACGGCTATTTTGCACGCAGACCAACACGCCAACACGTGTTGCAGAATTGGCCCAGAGAGAGTGAGGCCAAAAGAGAGAGAATGACTGGCTTTAAGTTAAAGCCTGCTCTTAAGACCTGTTCTGTCCCGCTCGCACCCGGCAGCCAAGCGACGCCATCTCGCTCGAGCCACCATTCGCTCTCCTTGCGAACATAGCTCATGCGCCCTGTTGTCTCGCTCTGCGGCACTCGGCCAGCCAGTTCTGGCCAATCGGCAAAAAGCGGTTGAAAAACAGGCGGAGCCTCTCCGGACCCCCGATGCAACTTGGTCGGGAGCCCTGAGCCCTCAGCCCCAAGTCCCGGCCAGAAGACCAGAAGACCAGAGCCTGGCCATAACCACATGCAAACCCTGCCCCTGCGCCATTGCAGCTGTCGGGAGAGTCTGTCAACCATTTGGCGTCCATGACCAAGCATGACGGCTATCTGGGCCCAGTTTGTGGTGCCTCTGCTTCTGCTGCTGCTGCTGCTGCTGCCTCTATCTCATCTCGAGTTCTGGCCTTCTGGCTTTCTGGCTGGCATTTTGACATTTCGCTCGGAGGCTTCTGGTGTCGGTGGCGCCGCACTGCAGCAGTTGCAGCATCTGCAGCCACATCAGTTATCTGTTCCGCTGCGGTTTGCGGCGATAAATGTGCGCCATCATGCAACTGGATGCGGACTTCGCATTGCGGTTCTGTTTCTAGATCGTGCAACTGTGTTACTGTAAAAGAAATAATCCCAAAAGTAAAAATATGGAAAAGAAAATTCCATTACATTCACCCTTACTTTGGCAAAAACGCAAAAGAAAATTGAGATTTTGAAAGAAATGGGCGGTTCTTGGAAAGCAAAATGAATTCACTTGGAAAGATATTAAATTGTAAAAGTATTTTGCTTCAACGGTGGGATACCTCGGAATCATATTGAAAAATGTTTTTAATAAATTGTATCAAACAAGTATTTAAAAATGCTTCCCATTACAATTTAACAAATTTTTAGACTAAAAACCAGAGAGAACGCTTTAATAACAGTTACACAGTGCGAGGGAAAATTTGCAACATTATTTTAAAATATCGATAGAAGTTGGCAGGAAAAATAACAAAATAAACCGAATGAAACTATTTTACCAAGGTATTTTGGGCGATTGATGTTAAATGTTAAATGTTTTTGCATATGGATGGAATTTGGCAAGACATATAAAACAGAGAACAGAGAACGCCCAAGAGTGGGCGTGACGGTCTGGGCGGTTTGTGGGCAAAGTGGTGGGTGTGGCAACTTTTTAAAAGAAACTTGCACATGCCAAATCTCGGCTTCCAGGTCTTAATAGTTTACATAGAGGACTATACGGACGAACAGTCGGACATGGACAGATTTACTCGGGTAGTGAACCTGGTCAAGAATATACTAACATTTAAACGTCGGAAACAAATACTTCTAGCTGTAACATACTTTTAAATCTATGCCATTTTATCCTACCAGTAACGGGCATAGATATCAATAATTTATGAATATAAGACAGTATAATTTAACGATCCCTATCTCTCTTTGACGGATTTTTGGGAAATGAATTCTTCGGTCAAATTTTCCATTTTTTGTAAGGAGGACATTTTAATCATAAAAATTATCATAAACATGAAACAATAACTGTTTTGAGCAGCTAATTACCAATGCTAACGATCCCTATCCCTTTTTGACGGATTTTGGGAAAATCATTTTTGGGTCAATTTTTGCATTTTTTGTAAGGGGTAACATCATTAAAATTTGCAAAAAATGGCAAAAAAATTGAGTTCCCATTTTTAAGCACAGTTCGATTGGAAATTTAATTACCAATGCAACGAGGTATACCATTTCATGTTCAGCCAATTATTTTTAAAGTTGTGGCGAAAAAACTGATTATTTTATGACCGAAATTCGAAAACACGGATTATGGCAAAAATTCAAATATTTTTGATGAACATTTTAATCATAAATTGGCTAAAAATGATCATAAACATGAGAGAATAACTGTTTTGAGCAGCTAATTACCAATGCTAACGATCCCTATCCCTTTTTGACGGATTTTGGGAAAATCATTTTTGGGTCAATTTTTGCATTTTTTGTAAGGGGTAACATCATTAAAATTTGCAAAAAAATTGCAAAAAAATCGAGTTCCCATTTTTAAGCACAGTTCGATTGAAAATTTAATTACCAACGCAACGAGGTATACCATTTCATGTTCAGCCAATTATTTTTAAAGTTGTGGCCAAAAAACTGATTATTTTATGACCGAAATTCGAAAAAACGGATTATGGCAAAAATTAAAATATTTTTGATGGACATTTTAATCATAAATTGGCTACAAATTATCATAAACATGAGAGAATAACTGTTTTGAGCAGCGTATGTACGTTTTATGTAACACTATCCTTTAGTTGTTGCATTGATATGTATAAGGCGCAATATATTTTTTTCCAACATATTCCCATTTATTTACTATAAATTTAATTTATTAATTCCTAAAACTCAACATTTGGATTGGAACTATGCATTTAGCTTGAGTTTGTTACGCATTACAAATGCCTTAGCTTAAAAATTTTATCAGGAGCTAAGTTAGTACTTTGAAATCAGTAAATTATGCTTTGGCCTATACAAAAGACAATTCACACCTATGGCAGTAAGCTTTACCTATTTTTAACATGCATTTTTTAAATAAATATGGGGGCATTAACGTGGCGAAGAGACCCAAAACTGACCCATCCTTACTCGCATCCAATAATTTACAAAATATACTCAGCACTAGCCGTTTTGAATTATTTAGCAGGTCCGCAGCTAAAAGATATCTGGATAACGATATCTCCCATGGCTGGTCGTCTGCAAATGCAAAGTGCCATTGATGACAGTGCAAACAAGAGCGGCGACAGTCCAAATGCGATAAGGAAATTTTGCTGCACTCAAATAAATGAAAAGCGGCACGGAAAGCGCATAAAATGGCAGCCGACAAATGGAAGGCCATAAAAAATATGTAATTGCGGCGGCGAGCCATATTAGCAGGTGAAATAATCAAATTAGCTGATAAACCGAAAGGGAAACTGCTGGACATTAGGTTCGCAGTCGGTCGGAAAAACAACGATGAGGAAAAGCCAGCTTTATCGTTGTCGCACACTGCTACCGGTGCTTTCTATTCGCAGTCCCCAGGTGGACGTGCCAATTGCATTGATTAACCAAATAAACGGCCTTCCCGCGCAGCACTTGCATTTTAATTTCATTTATGTTGACCTTTTTCCCCGAGGAATGCCAGTTGCAGTTGTCACAGCCGAAATGCGCTGCCTTTTTCCCACCCGCTGGCGACACATGTCCGTGTCCATAAAAAATGCCTTGTCAGGAGTAAAAAAAAATGAAGAAAAATTAACAAAAAATATAAAACAGCCAGCGCAAAAAGCTGGCAAAAAGATGCCAGTCAAGGGGCGAGCCGTGAAAAAAGAAATAAGCCAAGTGCTCCAATAAAAATTCCACCGCCTTCGCCCTCGTGCCGACCTGCTCTCGCACTCACACCCTCTCTTTCACGCGCGCACTCTCTCTTTTTTGCCCGCATTAATGGTTTTTTAAGAGCGCATCTCCGCTTTTTCCCGACTTGCTCTTGAGCTTGGCCAACACTGCGTATGAGTGGAATTTTTTCAGTGCCGCCGCGGCAACGCTTGAAATGAATATGTGCGATTATTAGCCGTGTTTGCAAAAAGCGTGTTTCGTTTTTGCCACTGACTTTGGTAGTTTTTGCGGATTTTTAATTTGAATATTACATGTATTAAAAACTCATTACTACGCGTGGTTCGCCATCGAAGTTGGTCAATGGGCTAATGGTCTGCGGATGCGATTTTTTGTCTTTTTGGCGTTTGTCTTATGCGGAAAATTATGCATTTGGGATCGGAACGAATGCAATTAATGTATGCTCTTTTCTTCATTTCGGGTGTGGAAATAGCACATTTAAATAGTTATTGCGAATGGGGAGGGGTAAACATTAAGGCAAAGTTAGTTTCAATTGCTAGGAAGAAGGAAATTGCTTTTACCTAATTATTTGGCTATTGTTAGTTAATACTTAACAACTGGATTTTATTATAATCTTACTAAATACCATTAGAAAATGAGGGTAAGCCTAGAAAATAGAAAAGAAAATAGTCAATGTAATTTGACAGAGGATCACAATTTTCTTAGACATAAATATTCAATAAATTCAAGTTAGCTTGGTGGAAAGTAGTAGAAGAGAAAAGTACAAATTGCTGACAATATAACTAAGCAATTTGCAACACAATAAACTGATTTTCCAGGATTAAGAAATTAAGTGGAAACCGCTTCCCTGATAACACTTTTGATTAATGATCCCGTCTTCGGTGACGGACTTGAACCCTCATTGCTCGTCACTTAACCGCCCCCGTGTTTTACCATAAAGATTGAGCTATAAAAACGGGGCGCCACATTAACGTTCGCCGCGCAACGAGCAGCGTGCAACGTGCAACGTGCAACATGCAACTCGCAATATGCTCATTCATGCTCAAAGTCAAGAGAAAAGAAAAGCCACTCAGGCAAAAAGCCCGAAATCAAATCAAAGTTGCTCAAGAGACGTGGCGGCAAAAAGCGAGCTGCAGGAAAAACCACAAACAATTTTTTCGTCGCCCCCAAAGAGAGGGAGAGAGGCCGCGTGAGAGAGGGAGAGAGGGAGAGAGCGAGCGAACTACTTTTTGCCGCTGCTTGTGGAGCAAAAGGAGCAAAAAGCTGTTGCGCAGGCGTCGCCGTCTGCCCCACAGCCGCGCCGGCCACGAGTGCGAGAGAGAGCGGCCGAGTGGAGCGACAGAGAGGGCAGCTATGCTGCGATTTGGCGGCGAGTGCGAGGCATTTGAATGTTTTTTTCGTGGCCGCACTCAGCATTCGAGTTCGGAATTCTTGCGAGCTGGCAGCTACTTTTTGCGCTGCTCGCTGCTGCCGCTTCTGCTGAGCCAAAGCCAGAGGCAAAGTCCAAGCCAGGCTAAGCCAAGCTAAACCTGGCCCAAACGGCCGGCCACTCGGCCACTGTCCACCAGTTGGCCACTTTCGCGCGCGTTCCAGCCAAGTGCACTCTGCAGTCTGCACTCTCCGTTCTCCGTTCTGCAGTCTACAGTCCGCAGTCTTTTTTGCCCGCGTCATCCAATCCGCGAAGAATTCTGTCGCAAAGTGCAATGCATTTTCGCCATTCCGCAAGTGCAGCTGCTCCCCCAGCTCGCGGTATCACAATTAAAAATCGAGCCGAGTGAACTCGCAAATTGTTATCACCACACGTCGTCGTCTGAGTCGGTAAAAAACCAGCCAGGCCCTCGGAAGGGTCGAAATTGGTCAAGTGTCAATACGATCGAGGCCGTAGTAAACGTGTTTCAGTGCGTCCCTGAATAGTTATTGTGTTCCGCTGATCAGCTGAGTGAATGCGAATGCCAGTGAACGAATATTGAGGAATACCCACTTACTACGAAGCCTACTAAGTGCGAGAATTTCCACGAGCCACTCTAAAGGGTAAAGTCGAATGGTTAGAAAGTGATGAAATCATTCTAGGAATCCCAGGAGCAGCGAAAGTAACTTTAAATTTTGTGTTGGTCGATAGAAAATTTAGAGGCAAGCCGAATAAATATGTCTTAAAAGGACAACAAGAGCATTTTGCCAAATTGAGTTTTTAGCTGCTCTACTAAAATCTTTTATATCAGTCATACGCATATATTAAAAGCAATATTTGATAATTTAGTTAAATTAAAAATTTAATAGTAAATAATATAAAGTACTTTTACAATTTTAGGCTTCTGAATAAAACGTACTTTTTCACTAACTGTTAAGCTAAATGTTATTGTTACGTAAATATAGCACAATCTCAATCTTAAAAGCAATTTATGAATTCAACTCGGTCGCAAAATAGTATTTACCTAGGTAAGCACAGCTCTCTAATGGGTTCAGTACACTCCAGATATGAGGATGTACTAAAGTAATTGCTTTCTAACCAAATGGCTTTCCCTACTCTAATAGTCGCCTCTAGCTCGGCGCCCCAAAAAGTAAATGAAACAATAAAATAAGCCAAATAAGGCGTTTATTAATTGAAACGTGAATAGATTTTCCGAGCTCCCCCAAGTGGAACTAATTAGAACAACGCCCCGCACAACCGCCAATCGAAGGTGCTTAAATGATTATGCATGGTACCTGGTACAAGGGACCTCAGTTGGCGCACCATCCTCACTCGAATCCGCACAACAGTTCGCACGGCCACAGTGACTACCACCAGTTCCGCTCGTACCCCTCGTTCGTTGTGACCCCCTACCACGATGGCCATGTCCAGGGCCCGGCCACGCCCACTCCCTGCCCGGCCCCGCCAACGTCCTGCAACGGTCCAGTTCCAGTTTCGATTCCCGTCTGCCACACCGGCGGCCAGGGCTCGCCAGTAATAGTTGAGAGCTCCTTTGCAGCCGCCGCCGCTGCCGCCGCAGCGGCTGCTGCCACCGCCGTCGGAGGATCCAGTGCCACGCCCCTGCTGCCCAGCCCGCCCATCAAGATCGAGCAGGTCTTCGGCGAGCCCTCTTCGCTCGGAGCCGTGGTCGAGGATTACGCGCTGGGACTAGATTGCCCCGTGGAGCACACGTTTCGAGTAAGCTTTTAGTAGTAACAAAACTAACTAACTTTTAAGCAAAACAAAAGTACTACCTAGTGCGAGGTTTTTGTGTTACAAAGACCTCAAAGACTTTTACCTTGATATTATAAAACCTTACTTTACTATCCAGAAGCCCAAAGTGTGAAAACCCCTAATTTAACCTATAACCGATGTACTATAAGTTTTCCAAAATTAACCTTGTCCGATAACTTCCTGCAAAGAAAGAACCATCTCGTGTCTAAAACTCTCCATAGGCCATTGACCATTTTATGCCTTATAGGAACTATTAAGTATTTAAAAGCAATCGTCCGATGTAAGCCGACTTAAGTACATATTATGGCCAGCACAAGTTCGCAATTTGCGGGTACGAGAGTTTGGTTGTTTAGGCATCGGTGAAATCTGCTAGCCAAAATTGTAGCTCCTAATGCATTCGAGATCTTACACCGTTCACATACGCGAAGATACGCAAACGGATATATAATAATATTCTATTATTATAATAATATTGTTACCTATATTCTTCTAATATATAAAGACACTAGAATAATTATTATTAATAATAATTTATATGAATTCATAGCACAATATTATTAATAATTATTATTATAATTATATACAATTATTATTATAATAATATTCGAGTGTCTTTGGTAGAACGGTTAGATCAACTCGAATAATGATTCAGATCAAAATTATTGATCTTATCTTTAGTCATCTTTGTGAGCCTAAGATAGTACTTGATTTTAAATCTTTCTAAAACTGGACATTTCCAAAATTCGAACGATTTTTCTTTTTATTTGTACTTGTTTATTGAGCGAGATATAAATACTTTTATTTCGTTGTTACTAAAAGTAGTTGTGAATATTAGTATTACAAAAATTGTGAATGGTTAGAACTCCTGAAATTTACCTACCCAAGCCTAACCCCTTTTTTTGATTTAAGGATCGAAATATTAGTTATTTTTTTATTTTGATGAAAATAACTAGTCATTATTTTTTATGTTCATTTCGCGTCAGTATTTACGTTATTGGTACCCATTAAATAGGTGTTTTCCTTTATTAAATAAGTAAACCCATGAGCGGCATTTTATGAAAAATTGTTCAAAGAAATGGCACGTAAAAGAAAACAACAAGGCTGAAATTAGTTTTAAAATCTCACTGTTGGTTGCGAGCTTTAGACAGCCGACAGCCGTTTACTACCCAATTTTGTAGCAGTGTATGGATAATGTTATTATGTCAAATTACTGGTTGGCATCCCCATTGGAGCAGCTGCTGCACTTGTGTTCCCTCGACTCTCACCACCGAAAGTGGGCGTGCTCCAAATCAATTTCCATAAAATCATCCAATAACACTTAAAAGCCAGGCAGGGCAAAAAACGGACACACACAAGTGGCAGGCGAGTAAAAAACAGGAAAACAAACACGCCCCCAACTCGAAGAGCGAGAGAAAGGGCTCTCTCCTTTTCTCTTTGGCGCATGCAAGAGCGCGCCCAAAAGAGAGAGCTCTTGTTTTGGAGTGGTTTTTTGGGGGAAAACGCTCAAGCTTTTGCGTCGCTCTTTCAGGCGGCACAAAGGACACTTTTTGTCGGCTTGGTTCGTGCACAGGATATCCCATAATTGCCTGGCTTTCAAAGCTTTTCGCAGACTAATGGAGATTGACATGAAGGCCTCAAGTGGCTGGAAGGGAATTAATACAAATCAACAGGTGGTCCTGCGAAGTTTAAGGGCTAGATGGCAGCCTGTGGAATTGCAATTTTTAAGGAAAGCGAAAGTAGAACACTCATCGAATTTGTTATTTAAAAGCATTCCAGATTTTTGGCATTAACGTTCTATATGAGTATAATATTCTACAAAAGTTCTGATTGTTGTTGATTTCTTTTAATTTATAAAATAAATTGGTGGTATCTCAAATGCGTTACTCGTGTGCACAAATGCGAAGGAATACATTTCAATTACCCGCAAGGAACCATTTTTTAAACCTTTTCTGAGCTTTTAATGCGTATTAAAGGGCAAAACCATATCCTTCTGCTGCTGGCGATGCAAACGGGACGCACGTTCCTTACGCTTATCAGGACATTTCGCCCACACAGCCAAACCATGTGTATATGTGTGTGTGGTGAATGCCAGCAAAGGGCAGCTGAAAATCCTAGAACATAAAAGGAAAACAAGCCAAGCAGCCAGCACATGCACATAAAAACATATGCTCCTGGACAGGATTTAGTTTGGGGACTCCATCCACCGACTCGCTGTTTTCCCGACGCCGACTGCGACGCCAGCTGCGCTGCAAATGCAACTCCTGCACACAGATATTGCCGTATTTTAAAGGGTCCTGATGCAAGTGCCTCGTACTTCCTTTAAGCAAATCGGCTTAGACGAGCGTTGCAAGGAATTAATCTTCGTATAGATTTAAACTCTTCTAGAATATATATATATATTATATATACATGGTAGAAGTGAGGGCTCTAGACCCACGCAGAGATCGCGGCATTTTATATGATAATAAAATACAACTAAGAAGCTTTTAATAGAACTATCAAAGCTTACTGAGGAAAAAGGATGCAAATAAATATTTTATATCATTAAACTTATGTTTATACAAAAACAATCATGGCGCCTTTATCAATATGGTATCAATAAAATATTTTGAAGCTTAATTTATTACTTGCTTCTACTTGTTATAGTTCGGGTTCCTTTCCCTCCAGCTACCTACAACTAAAAAAGATCTTAAGATTCGAGCTCTCACTTCTTAGCTTCGATCTATAAGTATCTTTTAGTTTCCCATCGATCTGCTTAGATCAAACAAGGGAAATATTATTCAACAGTCTTCCCTGCCGCACTTAAGGGGGGAAAATTGCAGCGGAGAATAGAAAATCATTCACAGAAATTGCACAGCGAGCGGTAACAAACAAACAACGGACTTCAGCTGAGCTGGGGAAAAACTAGTAAGAAAAAGGGAAATAATATAAACAAAATGAAGGAAAGAAATTGGCGCCCGTGCAATGTTAACGGGGCCAGGAGGACGCTGAGCTGAGCAGTGGCAGTGGCAGTGGCAGCAGAAGGATATATATCCGCAGCCATCCTCGAGCAGCGACGCCGGCAGAGGCAGCGACGCCGACTGCGAGGCAGACCGCGCTGAATGTTTTTATCCTTTCTTCGATGTGTCGTCGCGTTCCTCTGCTCCTATTTGTGTGTGTGTGTGTGTGCGAGTGTGGCAGTGTGTTTGTGCCAGGACATCACACGGTTTCGCTTTTCTTTTACAACTTTTTGTTATTATTTCGTTTTTTGCTCGACGCCTCAATGTATTTCTTTCAGTTTGCTGGCGTTTTTTTGCTTCATGTGCAAGAAAAAATAAGCTTTTACTTGGCTTTTTTATAACTGAGTGTGTGTATGTGTGCGCTGCAGTGTGCGTGTTTGTTACTGCTGCTTTTCCGAGCTCTACTTCTTGAGTTTCCTTTTCGCGCGCGCCATTTCGCTGCTGCTTTCCACAGCTCCTGCTGCTACTTACCCGTACAACAAACATGGCCATAAGTCGCCGGAGCTCGCTTCCGCTCTGTCTGTTTTCCTTTTTCCACCAGTCGCCGCCTCTGCCGCAGTCGCCGCCTCGGCCGGCGTCTCAGCCGCAGTCGACGTCGCAGCAGCTGCGACTGTTGCATGTGGTCCTGGGTTTGTTGCCTTTGGCGGGCTGCAACTCTCGTTGCCTTCAGTTCGCTCGGGCTTGGCCAAATCTATTGGTCGCGGTGCCGCGCTCACGCTCGCGTCCGTGTCCACATCCGCATCCGCATCCGCATCCGTAACCGTGCCCGTGTCCTTTCGCGGCCGACAGTTGCGGCCACCGCACGCGAGATGGCGCCGCATCGTGACGAGGGCTGAAGACTGCAATTAGGATAAGCGGGCTGGTCATTGGGTGTTGAATTGTACATATTTCAAATCTACTGAGATGCAGCACTTTAAGGACCAAGACATGACTTAATGGACTTTACTGCTTTCTTCTTTTATGGATCTTTAAGGGAAACACTAGGATATATAAATTATATTGTATCTCTACAATAACGAACTACTTTTAACCTCCTATTTAGCTCAATATTTAGCCTAAGGTTAACGATAGAATCACCAAACCTGAAAATGAATTATTAGTATATCTTCAACTATTAGCTGACACTAGAAGGACACCTAAGGTTCCTTAAGGTGTTTCCCAGCTTACCAACATTACCACTATATCTTAATAGGTGGTTAGAAGTCGAGTGAATCACACTTTGGTTTTTGGCAGGAAGATTTGGATATGGCCAACCTTCGAGTACCGGCAAATGGGAAAAAATGCCAAACGAAGTTATTCTCGTCTACGCCTACAGCAAACACGTCTTTTTGAAAGAAAGGCACACAGGACCTATTATAGGATGTGCGGCACACACATACATACATACATATAAGCGCCGCCTGAAGACGGCGGGGAAAATCAAAATAATAAAAATCACAAACATGAGCAAACCGTATAAAAGAAACCCAATCTTCCGCTCCGCCATGTTTCCCCCATCTTCCGCATGTCGCGCAAATTCAGCTTTATTTTCTATTTTTCCCATTTTTCGCTTTTCTTACAAGAAAATGCTGCAGTGCGCGCTGAAACTGCAAATGTATGTCTTTATAACGGGCAGTGTGCATATAAAAACGGAGCGAGGAGGGGGAATTATAAAATGGAAAAGGGCAGAAATAACAAAAACTGCAGCAGGAGGAAGGTTGAGAGGAGCAACAAAACAGTCACAGTACACACAAGAGTCTCAGTTAACGCACACACAGGCACAACCTATTCCCTCATGTTTGTGTGTGTGTGTGTGGACTTGTATGTATAAAACATTCGCGCGCGCTCGCCATTTTCTTTTGCCTTGAGCTGCTGCACTTTGGCTTCCAGTTGGGCTCCTCAGTTGTTGCAGGTTATCCCACGCTCGCTGACGGACGGAGACGTAGACGGACTCACGGACAAGACATCCGGACAGGCGGACAGCCGGACAGTCGGACAACCGGACAGCCGGAAGACCAACTAGCAAGCACTCATTCTCGAATCTTTTCTTATCAGCACGAAATGAGGCAAAATGCGGTGCACAGTTAGCTGCAACTTTAAGCGCCGTATACGTAATATGAGCACCGGTCAACGGGTCGTATACACAATAGCAAAGCAGTGCCAACACCACGATGCCATTGACCACCACGATGGCATCAAATGGAGTTCCTTTTTATGTGGAAAAGTAGAAAAGATAAGCCATGTTAACTCAAAGTTAAATAAAGGATTTTACGAATAAAGTTCCTCAACGAAAGTGCAAAAATAGGGATTAATCATGTAAACTGCGAAAAGTGTAAAATAAAATTGCAACGCCGAGTTCCTATCACCCAGTGCAAACTACATTTAATATACAAGTAAAATATATTCATATTTCGCTTTTAACAAATAAAATAATCTACTTAGTATTTCAAATAAACAAATAAAATATTTATCAAACGAAAAATAATCTCTTAAATAACAACAAAATGCTGGAAAATTAAATTCATAATAAATATGCCGCAACGCGAATAAAAACTCACCACTTGACGACTAACTTAACACTCCGCTGCTCAGCCACCTAGCGGAAATGGCAACAAACAAAAAACCTAAACGCCAGCCACAAACTGAAACAATCATAGATGGAAAGTAAACAAAAGCCCACAGCTGAGCAAATAAATCAAAGCGCAGAGACAACGAGCGCCGAGAAATGTTGACTAAACAATAAGAAAAACATCAAACCGAAAACACAAATTGGTCAGCATATGCAAGTAAAAAGGATTGCTACAGATGTCCATCACGAGCGAAACCATAAAAGCAAAAATCATACAAAAAATAGCAAACTGCCAGCCAGCAAAACTTTTCAAGGTCGTCGCTGCAAGTTTCCGGTGGCAAATCATTTCTATTTGTTTCAATTTAGTGTGCACCTAAAAAAGAGCGGGCAAAAAGTTTCTGAAGTGCACTCCGCCCCCGCCATCTAAAATGAAATAAAAGTTAAGCCCAAATAAAAAGACATCAGATTTGGTTGCAAACTTTTTGCACGCCTTTCCGTCCCCCTCTTGCAACGTGAAATGCTTGTGTGTGTGCGGAAAATCAAACAAACTGTGCTTCAGTTAGATACATTGCTGTAAGCGGGGCTTTCCCGTTTGAAAGTGAAATTGCCGAACAGCAGTGAAAAGCGCTGCCTACATTTGGGCGCCACCAAAGTTGGTTGTCATGCACGAACTCATTGGCAAATACAGCCATTCGGACATGGACATGCTGAAGGATCAGCTGAAGCGTGGCGGCTACATGGGCGCCCCCGCCTCCCCCGCCGCATCCGCCCCCTCGCCCTTCCTGATCCCCGCCGAATTCTACAAGAGCCTGCTCGCCAGCGCCGTTCTGCAGCAGCAGCAGCACCACCACCACCACAAGTTCTACGCCGCCACGCCCTCGCCCAGTCCCGCCCCCAGCGTGTCACCCACCGCAGGTCGCCACTCGCTGCCTTCCACGGCATCTGCGACGACCGCTTGTGCTCCGGAGAGTGGTCGGGTGAAGACGGAGCTCGAGGAGCAGGATCAGGAGCACGGGGCGCAGGAAAGCGCCGGACACGAGGAGCAGAAACCCATCAGCGCAGAGAACCCGGCGCCGAATGTTAGTATGGGAATTGTGTGGCAGTAAATGAGGGGTCATAAATGGGATTTCAAGGGGTTTAATTTTGATTATTTTGGGTTGCAGATAAGTACAAATAAAACAAGGCTTTCCTGTGTCGGCCCTTCCTGCTCGCGCACGTGGAGCTACCCTTAAATAAGAGTACTTGCCCCACAATTAGAGCGTAATTGTCGCATGGAGTTAATGTTTCTGTCAGTAGTAGTTAAACATGATATGGCCTTATGAGTAAGGAGTGATTTAGAACTCAAAAGTAGTATTATACACTTAAGAAGTGATTTAGAACTCAAAAGTAGTACTTTCGACTATTGATTATTGGTGTTTGGGTCAGGAAGTGTATTCTTCTTAATATGTTTAAAAGCAGGTAGTTTTTATGTTCGATTCTTCTGCCGTCACTGAATATGGAAGAAGCCTCTGCCTTGAAAAAAAACATAGAACGACTCATACGATGCGGTATGAATGCCATTAAAACCCGTTTCTTTCTTCATGCTCAATGCATTAACCAACTCAAAATGTGTAAATGTTTGACGAAACCCTTTTCACACAGGCACAAACCATTTTTCATTGCAGAAGCCGCACAACAACAGCGGCTACTCGTGGTCCGCCGGCAACAACAACGAGGTTGTCACTAATAGCAGCAACCACCCAGCAACACCGCCCACGCCGCCCAACGAGGCGAGCGCCACCCAAGCGACTTCGGTGTCCGCAATTAATTTGAATCAAGCCCAACCCGCATCACAGACGCGTTCAAACTTTGGCAGCTCCATAAAGTCACCACCATCAGAACCGGACGCGGTCGCCGCTGCCACGTGCAAAAGTCAGGAGAACAACTCCGGCCAGAACCCCTCCTCCAGCTCCATCTCCATCTCCAACTCCAACTCCATCTCCGACTCCGATCCCAACCCGGCTCATAACCTTAACTCGAATTCAACGGCCGCTGCCGTGGCCGCCGCTGCCGCCGCCGCCGCCGCCGCCAACATGCCGATCGGCGGCGTCCAGGGCCAGAATCCCACCCAGGGCCTGGTCCACTGGATGAGCGCCGTGATGGCCGAGCACATGACCGGCCAGACGCACCACGATCCTGGCGCTGTAGGCATGCACTACATGTGGAACGGAAACGTTGACGTGAGTACACGGAACTGGATTTCCGGGGGCGGCAACATTCGGGGGGCGTTCTTAATTCTTAGTTTAAGCCACATTCTGAAAAATCAAAAGAGACGGCTTGTCTTAACTTTCTTCCTTTTGACGATAACTAGTAGCATTTGCCTTGAAAAATTTGTTAGCATTACAATTACGTCAGTCTAAATCAATTTGGCCTGCTTTTCATTCGACGGTCTATAAATTATTATGATACTAGTTTTATAAAGTAGTGGTAAGACCAAATATGGCTTTTACTTATAATCTATGACCAGGGATTATATTACAATGTAACAAGACCTCAATGCCGTATGATATTGCACCTAGATCAGGATGTTGAAGATTACTATGAAAACTGGCAGAAATAAGAGAGCGAAATCCTTTTGGTAATTAAATATATTCAAGCCGACCTTTTGCCTTGTGCCAGTGCACAAACTTGGGACTTGTCATTGAAGTTTGTCTTGCAGTTTTCCCGGCATGGCGCAACTTTTCTCGGAGATAAAGCGAGAGGGAAAAGCAGCCGGGAAAAGGGAAAAGTAGAGCATGGAAAACTTTTCTACTTGACACTGCAGTCGTGGTTCCAAGAGACCAATGAAGCTGCGCCATAATTAATATGCAAGCAAACTTGTCGGGCTAAGTGAATTAAATGAGTGATAGCTGCCTGTAAAAATTAAAAGGGAGTCTTAATTGCAGTCTAGGTCTCTTCAATTTTGTCAGCCCTTTAAGTTTAGCTGCTGCATTTTTCTTGTTACAGTTTCATATTCGAAAGAATTTACTATTTACTAAAAAAAAAGTACTTACAAATGCCAAAGACAACGACCTTAGCCCTGGAGCCCAGCTTCATTTCCAGTGATTTGCCAACCACCCCTTCGATTCCAGCAGCTCATCTGCCGCTATTCTTCTGCGCCGGGGTGGAGAACACCCCCACCCCCGCCAACATCCAACCCCCATTCTCCTGCACTTTCACTGGGCAAAACTTCGGGCCAACAACTGTTTCGGCCAACTCGGCCAACTCGTCCAGCTCGGCCCCTTCGACGCCTGTTCCTAAACCCTTAACCCTTTCCATTTCTCCAAGCAGACGCGACGCTGAAAAAATCCTTTGAGTTTCCCCTTCCTTCGACCTTTTTACCTTTTTTTGTTTTGTTTCTGCCGCTGCTCCTTCTGCGAATTTCCAGCAAAACGCTCCGCTCTCTGCTCGCGTGCCACGGCGTGTAAAAAATCGTACGATTTTTTCTTTGCATTTTTTTGTGCGTTTTTAAAGATGTAAACAAGTTTTTCTTTGCGCGACGCGTTAAACATTGTTTTGTTGGTCTTGTTTTTCACCCTCCCGTTTTTTGCCCGCCTTTCTTTGTTTTCCTCCTGCCTTTCATTGAGCTCCAGCGAGTTTCCCAGCAGTTTTTTCAAGGAGCAGCGAAATTATTGTTTTGAATGGAGAGTGATTGTCTCCAAGGACGACGACGTGTCCAGGCAGAAAGGTTCACCTTGGATCGCCACCCCACCCAGCCCGGCATCCCCGCTGAATGGACTCGTTAGCGAGTTCTGGCGAAACCCATTTAAAACTTTGCTACACCCGCATGGTTCTTAAAGGATATTCGAAGTTAATTAATTTTTAAAGTTCAACAATGCGCTCTCATCCTTTTCGCCATTCATCTGCCCTTTGCCAACTGGCTGCGTCAACAATCACGGCATTTTTTGCTGCCGTTGTCACTTGCATTAGCGAAATTAGTTGGCCGAGACAAGCGGTGCCAAGTTGGTAAGGAAGCTCATTAATTAATTTTGCACTTAATTTTCGCCAAAGCTCCGGCTGCAAGCAGATTAGTTAGTCGGGAATGAATTATATATCCTTAAAACATATTCCGAGCTCGTCTGCCGCATAAAGGAAGCCACCAACCGCAGCACGTTGGAAAACAAAGCTTTGCAATTAATACTTACGCTTCAATTAGAGGAGAGAACCGTCAACGAAAAAGTGAAAATTGAAAAGCGAAAAGCGAAGGGAAACAACCCGGTCTGGAGTTCGACCACGATTGGATTTGAGTCCGATTTTGTATCCCAGGCTAAAACTGACTAATGGGGCCAGTCACGGCACGTCGAATTGCGAAAAAAGTACGGGACGGGAAGCAGAACCGCCAAAACCGCAAGCAACTTCAATTTTTTAAAGTAATTGCCACAAAGTTGGACACAATTTTTGTGTAGCAACAAAATCAACAAGAGCCAGAGCCAACATATTCTAACCTCAGAGCTCCTGCTGCACTTTGGCGACAAAAAAGTGGTAAAGAGGTGAGGGAATTGTTGGATAGCCGACGACTCGAATTCCCTGTTCTTACATCCATTCCGATTTAGTGCAATACGATCAGGATGCAGGATCTTTCACTCTCTCAAAACAAATGTCGTACAAATGAAGAAAAACACACTATTTTCAGGGCATCTAAAGGTCTGTCTTAACCTTTGCAAAGGGCATTGCAGAAATGAGACAGAAGTGCGGATGGTCAAACATTTGGACACGAAAAAAAGCAGAAATTTAGTTTTTTTAGCGACTAAATGCGAAAAAAATCAATAGAAGCAGACAGTGGCAACATGACTAAAAAGATGTGAGAGGAGGCAAATAAAATAAAAATGGAGTGCACAAGGACGAGCGGCAGGGGCAGGGAACAGCGAAGCCAAGGTGCAGGGGCACGCGGAGTACGTTGGGGTGGAGCGTCTTGCGAGGATGAGGGGGAGTCCGACCAGACCAAGCCGGACCAAAACCCCCGGCAAAGGTTGCTACATTGTGCAAAACACGCTGTGGAGACTGGGCTCGGGGTCCTGGCGAGTCCTGGCGAGTCCTGTCGGATGGTCAGGACGTGCAATTGCAAAGGGAAAAAATGTTTTAACGTTTTCCGCCTAATTTTTTGCACTTTTTAGCGCTGCATAGAGGCGGCTAAGCCCCCAATCCGCCGCACCCCCAACGCGCCCGACGTCGACGTCGCTGCTAGCTGCTAGCTGCTAGCTGCCCGGCGAAGGGGTTAAAAAATTTGTTTTGATTTTTTTCCTTTAGAAACTCTTTGGTTCTATGCTTTGCGTTCTTTTTTTAAGCTTCAGAGCGAGACAGCAGAGCAGAAAGAGCAAGCTGCTGCTGCGCTGTGCCATTTTTTTGCGTTTCGCAAATGTCTTCCTTTTTTATCCTGTCCAGTTTGCTGCGTGCTGCAAACCGAACTTGGCGAAAATGGAAAATGCGAGTGGGCCAAGCGACGCCTTCCTGTGGCTGTTGCTGTTGTTGTCGCTGCTGCTGCTGCCGCCGCTGCTGCTGCCGCTGCTGCGGGACTTGTATTTGGTGCTGGGCTGTTGGTTAGAGGGGACTTCCGTCCATGTCCACAGCCATGTCCCTGGCTCTGGTCATCTTCATCAGCATCAGCATCAACATCAGCATCAGCATCAGCAGCTGCAGCTGCGTCTGTGCGTGTGTGTCTGTCTGTCTCTGCGCGCTTTTTTGCCGCTCTGTGTTCTTTTAGCCCTCCTACTAACTAGTCATGGCTGCAGGGAGTGGGGCGGTGCGGAGTTGGCCAAAAGGAGCCGCAGAGCCAGAAAGAGCAAGGGAGAAAGCGAGGAGAGGCAACTAAAGCAACAAAGCTACGCTCAGCAGCTCACACCCACGCACACACACGCACACACGCACACCCGCATGTGTGTGGGCCTATCACACAGTGGCCAACTCCCCTTGCGCTATGCAACACTTTTTTAGTTGTGTTTTGGCCTGCTTTGTTTTGCTCCGATTTTTTGCGTTTCCACGTTTTTGAGTTGGGCCAACACCAAAAGCCGCCGCACTTTTGTCGCTCTCGTCGACATCGCCATCGCCGTCGCCGTCGCCGTCGCTTTGACACCTCGATTGTGTGCAGCGCGGTTTTCTATTTCAATTGGCACTCACATTTATTTGCATTAGTATTTCGAGCCGTGGCCAGCTCTTTTTGTTCGACTTTTCTTGGCGGTTTCCAATTCATGCAGCCTCTTTTTTCCACCATTTTTTGCTGAGCCCCTCACAAACGCAGATCTTGTTACAATAGATCAAGAGCGCAACTATATTTAGGCGCGCTCCGAATGTTTATTTTGCAGCGTGGTTGAAAAAATGATGCAGTAAAGTGGACTTGGGTTTCACGTCACTTCATTTGTTCAGGAATTCATCTCTTGTCCTTAAGCAAATTGTTTATGCGCCACAGCAAGAATATTCTGCATATACTTAGTGCCAGCTCTGCTTTTTGCTCAAGAAGATCTCATCATTTTAGGGTCAAGATATTTGCGAAACCAGCCTTGCCTTTTGTTAGATTTTCTTTTTCTTCAGTTAGTTAAATAAAATGTAATAATAAGTTAAAAAACCCAACTTTTTTAGCTGTTTTAGTAAGCAATTCTCGAAAGCTGATTTTAATATATATTTAAATTCTAATTACTCAAACGATGTTCACAATAATAGGTGGCACTGCGCACTGAACAAACCAGGATTCCTGAAATCGAAGGCAATTTAATTACCAATGCCAGCGAAATCAACATGAGCACATACGAAATCATAGTAATTGCCAAATTGTACCTACCGCAGTTTATAATTCACTTAGATATTACAAATATTTAGTACTTGTTAGTCACTTGTGTTGAATTGTGTCATCTTCGAAAGACCTTCTCCTAATGCGCCCTGGAAAGTAAAACAGTTTCCCACTAATATTTGACATACATTTGTATTCCATGTGCTGTGGCCCGGGTAATCGACCAACAAACGAACCGCCAACCCAACAACCACAGCATGCCAAAGACATAAGCGATTACAATCTTTGGCCGCCAACGCCGCGCAGTCATCAGCATGCCAGCGAGCACCATCCGATGTCCCTGAAGCAGGAGTACGAGGTAAGTGAGCCGCTAAATGGTGACGCTCCTCGCTGCGGCAGTAGCATGTTTATCTATAGATCCGTATCCGAACGGTGGTAAAACAAACCGGCATAACTTTATGGCCCGGCCGCTGGTGGGGGCGAAACAAACACAAATTCTAAGCTCGCGTGCCGCCAACGATTTGGATTTGTTTTGCTCTCCGCTTCCTGCTCCACCCAGCCACCCATCCATCCGCCCAACCACCCATCCATCCACCCAACCACCCATCTGGCCACCCATCTAACCACCCATCTAACCACCCATCGCGCTTATTTACTTTCATTGCCCACTGTGTCTGGCCAAAGCCAGACTAGATTTTGCTTTTGTTTCGCCGCTGCAATATTTGTATTTATATTTTCTTGTTGCACTCGGGGCTTCCCCGCCGAACTAAGCATATGGAAATAGTTTAGAAAAAAGCCGGCTGGCATTTATTTTTTGACACAGCCGGCGGCGGGCCATGTTTATTTTATTCGATTTCCATTTTTCTGGCCTCGCATCGATGACGAAGCAGGCCGGGTCGTCCTAGGTCATGTCTGGCTGGAGGATTTTAACCCACATTTGGAATTTACATGCAATCGAAAGCGGTGGCCTTTTTTAGACAACTATTTTCCTTATTTTCCGCACTCCACGCTTTTCCCATTTCCATTTCCATCTATCACTCTCGCTGGCCGGCGGTTAGAATTTTTATTTATATTTGCCGTCAGTGGGGCTGATGTGTCTGGACTGTTGGTTTTGTCACGCATTCGATTTGCTTTTCAATTCATTTATCGCTGGTTTAGCTTTGAATCGCCCTGACAGCTGGCAAAAACATTTGTTACTCGTGATTTGCACTGTGGAAACTGCATTCGCTTTTCGCTGGACATTGTAATGCGATTTGCCGTTCTGAGAGTCATTACGAAATTTGTGTAATGAATAAATATTTTGACAGCGCTCCAAATTGTTTCATGGCCATTTGATGCGGGGTCACTCTCGCCCTCGCACAGTTGCGAATGAATATTTGATAATAATGTTAGGTTGATGGGGTTAATTAAATGTGTGCGGAATAATTATGAAACTAGCAATTACCGTGGATTGGCCAGATTAGAAGCGGCAATTGCAAATCGAATTAACTGAATTGCTTTTGGCCTTTCCACGCCGCTAAGCTTCTGGGACCGCCTAGTGACGCATTAACTAAATGTCAATCCGTGTTCTCCTTTCCCTTTCAGGCCAAAATGAACGACCACCACCACAACAATCTGCAGAAAGGTGAGTCACCAGCGGACCTATCCCAAGGAGCCACCAGATCACTTGATCTACCCAGGACCGAACCTGACTGACAACAATGCTCTTGTTAATTAATTGCTCACAAAAACGGCCCGACCGATAATCACGAATTTCCAAGATTCAGATCGCGGCGCGCGAACCGCAGATCTCCCAGATACCGATCTAAATTCACCCGGCGAAGAATGCAAAAGCTAAATTGGAAAACGCGTGCGGGCCGCCGAACAAAAGCCGCTAAGACAGTCCGCTCCGTTCCCATACTCCCACGGAGTGGCACACGGAAAACAAAACGTTCTCCTTTCCCATTTCACATTAACAAACAAATTATATCTGGGATGCCCAATGAGAGGCTGTTTTATATCAGAACCTACATCTCGATTTAGGAAGTAGCTTTAAGATACTTTTAGAAAAGGACCCCCAAACATCTATGATTAGGAAAATAATCGTAACCGTCACTGAATAACTAATTTGTCTCTAGGAATCCGTCTGACATTCATTGGAATTCAGTATGCACTTATGCCTTTTAATATTCTATTTTATATTAAATGGAAACGATGATAATCGGCTGATTAGCTGAAATTTTTCCAGTGCAGCGAAGTAAGCTGAAAATTGACCTTTAGCAGCCGCAGCAGCAACAACAGTCGCCGAATGCTTACAAGATGTTTACATAAATTCCTAAAATGCAAACAACATTTTAGCCCGGCTCGCTGGCGGAATGGTTGCTGCTGCAACTACCAACCGCCAACAAGCCACATTGACAGCAACACGCTCCTGTTCGGAGGCGCAGTTGCAGCAGCAACTTCCATCCGGATGGCTGGCCGGCCAGGTGAAGGCAAGCCTGGATCTGGACCCCCAGAGCTTGTTGGCGTTGACGTTGGCGGCAATGATCGCCGGCCGATAATGTCAACGCTAGGCAATTGGCCAATAAGGTCGTTGTTGCTGCTACGGTTGCCGTTGCCGTTGCCGCTGCCGTTGCTGTTGCCTTTGTTGCGATAGCGATCGTCCACATTGTTAGCTGCGATGTAGATGTACTCGGATCGGATACTCTGCTTGTACAAATTAACAATAAGGCGACTTTTACTGTGCGCCCGGCTCATATTGCCGGTCGTCCATTTGAAATGCCGCTGAAGAGCTTCAGCTTCCAGGCCACCGTTCATTAGCTGAACTTTCCGGCTGGCGCCACTGGCCAGCTCTCGTGTAATTAACACAGAAGTGGCGGAGGACGGGCCAGCAATTATCTGCAAATGCTTTATTAGAGAAATGTTTTTGACATAGCAGCGGGGCGCCCAGAAACCGAGCTATTCGCTTTGGTTCGGTTTGCTTGGGTTCAGTTCGCTTGTCTAAGCCGGATTACAGAGGAATTTCCCCAGCGCTTATTGCGCTTATTGTTCATAATTATATGAGCACCCCGAAATCCTGGGCAACCCTTCTAGCAGCCAGACAAACTCATTAACGGATTCACACAATTTTTGCACGCAAATGGGCCGCGGAAAAAATTCTAAAGCTCGGGCAAATGCGAAACTATTTTCACATAACTCCTCGGGCGATTTCCCAGTGGCAATCAGCGCGGCCAACTAATGTCTCAGTTTAATTAGAAAAAAGATCAGGCAGCCAGGAGCTGGGTTGCTCAGTTGCTCAGCTGGTCAGGTGGTCAGGTGGCGACATGGCCAACGTGAGTGAACGTCAGCGGCGGCGACTTCAACGGACGCCAAACGACCGGCGAGCGGCGACCAGACCAGAACTTGATGGACAACCGTGGGGCAGCACTAATGCTGCCCCAAGCCGTGGCGCCACTGCCACTGCGCTGACACACAACAACTAAAGGCAACAACTCAATTGCTCTTGCAGGTCACTTTCTGGATGACAATCGTCTGGAGCATCACGCGGTTACCGGACAAGGTGAGTTGATGGGTGCGGTGATGAAAGTTACCGATTCCGGTCAGCTTTGCGATGCAGTTTTAGTGGTTCGTTAAAAAAAAAAATAGCTTAAAACGCTTTTAGTTTATATAGTTCACCTGTATCCCGCGCCTGACCGACTGCCATTTCCTCCCATTGCAGGTGGCCTGGGCCTAGGTGCATCCAACGGAGTAGGCGGAGTAGGCGGTGGCGCCTCTGTGGGCGGCAATTCCAGCCTGGGCGCCAGCTCCCACCACGCCGTCGCCGCCGCCCACCATCACAACCAGGCGGTGGCGGCTGCCTCGGCGGCCGCTTTGCTGGTGGTGCCCCAGCCGATCAATGCCAGCAAAATGGGCGGACCCGGCGGAGTCTCCTCGGTGGCAGGCGGACATGCCACCGGCGGAGGCAGTGGACGCAAATATCAGTGCAAAATGTGCCCCCAGGTGAGTGCATCCGCATCCGTTTCGATTTCCATACCTCGATGCGAGTATATGCCTGCTGCTGGCTATGAAACTCAAGGCTAAGGGTGGCCACAGTTAAATTATGCCGGAGCCGCCGGCTCTGCAGGAACCAGTTGACCGTAAGATTGGGGACCGAGGGGGATCGTGTCCAGTCGGATTCGCAGCTCCGACAGAGCCCAGCCCGGCAAGGCATCGGCTTTTGTTTACAATTTTCCACTTGATTACGCTCGACAAAAGATTCGAATTTCAACGGCACTGAGGGAAAAGCTCAGTGCAGATTTATTAAGATTTTTATAGAAAAGGTGAAGATTCTTAAAGGCCATCGAGCAAGTAATTACTTCTGAAATAAATATGCTTTATACTATTTATTGAGCTTAGAACAAACCTTTACTTAAATATGAAGAAAAATTGAATACTACCTACGAATACTACCAACTATAAACTAATTTATAAATGGATCCATCCACAATTAAATACTTTTTGGGCAACGGCATGAATAGCAGGCATTTGACTCGATTCCTTCAAGGTTTTGATTGATTTTGTCGGTTTGTCCAAGCTTTTGGTACGTTTTTCAGTGCAGTCAGCCAGGCTCGTATCATGTTGCCTGGTTTTCTCACATTTTTTCGCGGCTCATGCACTTGCATTGACACTCAAGCCGTGGCCAAAAGCCAGGCCAAAAGCCCCCGAACCAACAGCTGCAGTTGCTCGTAAAATGTCAATTGTGCAGCGTCCACGGCCTGCGTTGATTGCTGCTAATTGAGCTTATTGTTTTTTAACGGTTATTTGTGGCCTGAACCCTGGCAGGTGCCAGCTGTAAGAGGAGAGCTCTTGTCCAGGAATCCTTGTGGGTCAGCGATATGCGTGAGATTTCATGCCGGTGGGTCTGAGGCATGATATGCGATCTTGTCCGCAATTCACTTCGACCTCTTGAGTATTGCTGAAAATTCTCTGCAACCCTAACCAGAAAGTCACCTGTGCACCTACCTATAGTTTCCCTTCCAGCCCCTATGCTAGGTAAACTATTTCCGCGGCTTTGTTTTGTTCTCGAGGAAGAGCAGCATTGACAGCGAACATTTTCGGACGAATGATGTGTCCGGCTGATATGCCACACCCACAAAGCCCACAATTTGCGGTGCGAGGCTAACAACATTTGCAGCGCTGATGAGCGGCGCCAGCACACACACACCCACAGGAAGGGGTGATTAAAGGGGTGTGCAAGGGGGCGAACACGGACGGAGGTGTTCATTTGTGCGGGACAAAGTGAAATAGCAGCATGCCTAAAAGTATGCTACGCTCTCCGTTTTTTCCTGCTCCGCTGCACGCGTGCTGGTGTGTGTGCGCTTCGTCCTTCTGCGAGTGTGTCAATTTTGCACTTCTTTTTGGCACATGCATGTACTCCCTGTTCGGCTCCGCATGTGTGAGTATGTGTGTGCGTGTGTGTGTGAGCTGCACTACTGGAAATTAGTGCGTTTCTACGCTCAAAAGCGGCTGCTGCTACTTTTTTAATTACCCACACTTCGCATTTTTGTTTTCCTCGGCGATCCAGCTCGTGCTGCAGTACTTTGGCAGTCGGCTTGTTGCTGCCCAGTCCAGCTTCAATTGGAATTACTACACTTGGCACTTTCATATGTACGTATGAAAAAAGAACTGCAGCAGCTCCCCCTGCGTTTTTTTGTACCTTTTGAGCGGCAACTGGCCACATTGCTCCTGCGTCGGTGTGAGTGTGTGGAAGTTTCGGCCAGCCTATCATGTTAGTGTGCGCTGCTCTTCCCCTCTCCATGCGTCCTTTTCCGATGGTTCGGCTGTGGGGGCACAGCATTGCTCTTTCCAACCCGTTTTTTCAGCTGACCAAAAATTATGTTCACCATTTCGGGGCGCATGTCAGGAGGTTTATTCGGTTCTTTTTCGCAGAGGACAAATGAAACACACACATTATTTTAAAATAGATTTTAAAATAAGTTACTAAGCGCCTTGATTGAGTACAGACTTTTTGATGAAAATCATGAAGCCTTGAAAGCGTAGAACTTTAAAGAGCAATGCTTTAAAGATCCCACTATTTAGTCCAACAAGCGAAAATGCATTATGTATTTAATAATTTCCCACAGCGTTCCCTGCATATTTTTAAGCTTTAAAAGCACTCCACAAACAACATTCCAAACTCAACGCAAATATTTGTTTTCCCAAGGAAAGTCCTTATTGTAATTGAAATCCTTTAAAAACAAAATTAATCACGGACGTGTGTTTTTTAAAGTTTTTTACCTTCAACAAAATATTTGTCTTATCCACAAAAAACGGCAAGAAGAATACGGGAAAAGGGAACTTTTTATGGACCACATGCCGCGCCCACTTGTTTGGGGCGACCGACACAAAGCTTACATAAAATTATAGAACACGCCTAGCAAAGAGGCAAAAAAGGGCTGAATTAACTGAAATAAACAGAAAAGTGCGCTGCGATTTTTACCCCATCTTATTATTAGCACCACGCTGCACTAGTGTTTGTGCGCGATTCTGGTTTCCAGTTTTTCATTCTGCTCCACCTCGCCACGCATAAAACGCTACTATTTTTAACTGCAATTTTTTAGTTTTGTTTGACATTTGCATTTACTTTTTTCCGTTATTCCTTGCTGCGCTTTCAACTTTGTGTGAGCTCATGTGTGGCAGGCACTAACACAATTACACATGTGGTAAGAGGGGCGGCATGGCGGTATGGCGGTATGGGGCAAGCTCACACTATCAATTAGTGAATTACATGCGAACAACGAGCGGAAAATGCGCGAGCGGGTGAAAAACTGCCGACAAAAATAGAAAAATTGCACAAATTTGTTGCGCACATCAAAACAAACACACGCACACGCACTCGCGAGCGCGGCCCACACACACACACACACACACACACATCGGCGGACTGTGTCTGTTATTCCCCTCATTTAATTAACAATAAAAATAGGCTAAAAAGTCTTAAAAAAGCAAAAACTGCACGCGAATTATGCAGGCGCACAAAACACGCCGCGCACACTCACATACATTGCAGTCATGCCATTTGTTAAACAATTTTAACTCGCGCCCCCAAGTAGGCAATGTTTTCCGCACACGCACACACGCGGCGGGCATTAAAATGTGATCCGATATAATACATGAATTATGTAAACTATTTTTATTTTTGTTTTGCCTATTTATTTTTGCATTTTTTCGCTGCATTTTTCCGACACGGTATTGGTGCGAACTGCCCCTAAAAGCGCACTGGTGTGCGTGCCTGCGTTTTGTGGCCTTTGGCATTAGCATTTGGTTAACGTTAACGGGCGACCACTGCAACAATTGCCAGCCCATTTGCCATTTCTGCCATTTCTGCCATTTCTGGCGGTTAGCAACAGAAGCGCACTGCAAATGCTCTTCACACGCATGCCGTCTCGCTTTGTGTTTGTTTTTTGATTGTATTATACATTATTTGGACCATGTACGAGTGTTGGTCTGGGATCCGATCGACTGATATTGGGAGTGAGTCTATTTATGCACTCGTCCAGTGCATTCGAGTTTTGTTTTGCTTTGCTTGTTTTTTGCATTTAATGGCCGCACTTTTTGCACGGCACTCTCCAAATTGTTTTTAAAATGCTAACTTTTTTCTTGGCGCTTTAACTTATTTATATGTGTTCGCGGCGAAATATTTTACTTTGTGCTTTGGTTTACGCTTCAAAGAAACATAAATATGGGAAATGGAAATTATTAATTTTTTACATGTTTTCAACGGTTGGGAATTAATCAACGTTCGGCGAAAAAAATTGCAAATTCAATTAAAAATGTTTATTAATGTTTCAATACTCGAAATATATAGTTTTACGATAACGTCGCTCTGGGCCATGCTAGATTATTTATGTGGTGCGAATAAGATTTTGGCTCGGCTTTTTATTCCATCAGCCGAATTTCAAATTGTTTACTGAAAATAATGGGGATTTTTTTGAGAGCAGCTTATGGTGATTTAATAAATCAAGAACTGCACTTGAGAGTTCAAGTGACTCGTATGCAATGATAAGTGTTTATGAGCCGCGTTTAATCCAACACAACATATACATTTTAGAGATCAAATTTTTATTAATTTTATAACAGTAATATAAAATAAAATGAAACCAGCAACATTCAAAAGGTTGACTGCATCCATTCTGAATTTCACTATAGATTAGTACTGCTAAGGTTAACCTGCAACAAGAAGTACTCAGTGAAAGATTTATCTGAAATGTTTGATTCAACTTCATTGTCTTACCATGGATCTAAAGTAGGTCTTAACCGAAGACCATCCCAGATTGGACGAGCTGTCCCAGTAGCGCTGATTGTACCGGTCATCAAAATCATAGGTGCTGCCCAAAGAAGTGGGAAGGGGGTGGACTTCCAAGAACTGGGACCAAAATCCGGGGGGCAACAGAAGCAGCATCTTCAGCACCCGCTGCCAAATGACCACATTTTCGAGGGTCAGGTCCAGGTCTCCAAACAGAGTTGGGGCGAAGATCACGGCTAGATTGTTGACCGTCATACGGACGGCAGGACTTTCGGCAACTCTCTGCCAGTGCAGCATTAGGTAGGCCAACGTATCCCTGTGGGCCTGATGCAGCTCCAGAACCGCTAGATACACCGCCATCTCTACAGCCAGAGGATCCTCATGCCGCGTGGCCTCCTCGAAGTCTCTGCGCAGGTAAATGGGAATCAGAGGGTGAACCAACTGACGCAGGAAGTCCTTTACACAACAGCACAATGTGTGCGTGTCCTTATTGCCCAAGTGCGGCTTGGACTTGCCGCGCAGCAGCTTCCGACACAGCCGCTTGCATTTCTCCCGTGTCGAGGACACACGGTAGAGTCCTTCCTGCTGCAGTCCTCGCGCCTCGATCTCCGTTACACAATGGACAATTAAGGCAGGCACCATGGGCGCCACTCTAGGCGCATAATCGCTGAGGATTCCCCGTTTCGTGGACATTTGGGGCTGGGGAATGCAGTTC